ACCCGAGATAAGAATAAAAAATGTAAGAAATCTCGCTAATGAGGATGTGAAATTATTTCTGTTGCAAAGCTCCTGATATAGAAAAGAAAACAATATGCGAATTAATATAGAAGATCAACAAATTTCTCCAAGAATAGAAAAACAAATATTCCCTGGATCCACTTTTTCAGAAGAAAAACCTGGGGGGCGGGAAGGATTTGCAGGAGCTATAGCCAAGAAACGTATCAAGCAAGTCGAGCTTGTTAAAGCAAGTTAGTTAGTTTACTAGAAATGCAGAGAACTGACAATTAAATAATGTATGAAAGGACTAGAAATAAATCTAAATTTGTTCCATTTTATTGGAGGAAAAAAAGAATACTGATGAATAGGACATTAAAGGAATTCCATTATTCTTGTAATATACATTGAGGAGTGCTTAGGCTATAGTACAAACACGAAATGAGAAACGTTGTAAAGTGGTGATTTACTACAAAGAATTGTGAAACTTGTGTAAAATTTGAGAAAAAATGGATGATAATATATCCGCAAATACTTCTTTCTCGAGTAGAAAGACACACTTATCTTACTTAGAAGGTATTTTCTCCCTCCTTTCTGCATGGATTCTTAGTAAACGGTAGCACACTCGGCGAGTATTTGAGAGGTCCAGGTTCGAGTCCCGGGAAGGGCATTGCTCATTTTTCATGTCTCCTGCTTCAGAATAGCCTAATGACTCTACAGTGGTTCCCGAATTCAAAGGTGGTGGATGATCATTCTTCACCACCAGGATCTGGCGAGTAGGTCTCCTAATCCCCAGTCTTCCTTTAAAAGTGATAAGATATCTTCTCTCTCCTTTCTTGATGCCTTCGTGGTGTAACGGTAGCACACTCGGCGCGTATTCGAGAGATCCATGTTCGAGCCCCAGGCGAGGGCACTACTCATTTTTCACATCTCCTGCACCAAAACAACCTAGTGAGGCCTGAAATACAGTGGCGCCCGAACTAAAAAGGTGGTGGATAATGATTCTTCACCACCAGGATTTGGTGAATGGGACCCTTTATCCCCAGTCGCCCCTTAAAAGTTGGAGTATATAAGGTATTTTCTCCCTTCTTTTTACATATTTGGAGATGTAACTATTAGCACACTTGTTGCATAATCGAGAGGTCCAGGTTCGAGTCCTGGGGAGAGTGTTGCTCATTTTTTATGTCTCCAGCATCAAAATTATCTAATGACTGTACAATACATGTGTAAATTAACTATTACATCTTACTAGAAATATATCGCCAAAGATGCAGTTTAAACTCCTTTTTCCAAACACTATTATTCTTACTAATATCTGTTCGCTGAACAATCAAACAGGACAGGCGTAATAATTAAACTTATACGATAATTGACTTTTAACTATTCTTAGTTAGGAAGCAAAGCGTAGGTAGAGAACATAATGCGTAGGTGAACAAAACAAATAAGCCATAACAATTGCTGCCTACGTCTTTTATAAATGGTAATTTATCTATGTCATATAAATGAACTATAATTTGAAACATCGGAAATAGTAGATTTAAAGCCTTGAAAATCTGACTAAATCAAACTAGAAGAGATCCACATCGATATAAAATTTTAAATTAGGCAAAAACTGCAATGTTAAGGTGTCATCCTACCCTAAAATCGATGAAATTACCGATTTTTCAATTTTTTGCTAAAGCATACCTTAATTAGCCTTTCTACACTAAAGAGAAATTTTGAAATGATCTGACGATAATAAATGGCCTTTTAAAAGATTTGACAGTTCCATTCCCTCAGTGTTTATTAGTCCAAAGGGACCATTTGCCCAGAAACACTGTTAATTTCGTTTTGGCATTTTGCGTTGATTCACTATAAATGTTGATTCACTTTTCAAATTGTTCCCACCCAATATTGCAGCCCTGTAATATATTTAAAAAAATTAATTAATGAAGAAGAATCTGCATAAATGTATACATGTTTCTCGCATTGTCATTAAACAACGGTATTTAGAGTCATCCAATTTCGAATAACGTACGTTTCCAATATGAGCATCTGGAAGTCCGAATTTGGAATTTGTTTTATTATCGATTTCATATTTTATAAAACTTTAACGAATTTTTGTGTAACAAACTCAACGATTTCAGAGCGAGCAAAGGGAACACTGTACGGTTTAAAATATTATCTCCAGCGCGGGAGACTATGTATCGGAAATTCTAAAGATAGGCTCATTTGAAAATTATTTTGCGATATTGCTGTTGAACTAAATTTTATAGTTTATGTTCGATGATCATGATATTTAATAAATAAAGATAACTCACAAAACGTTCAAAAACGCCCTTTTTAGAGTAATGTAAAATCTTCAGATGAAAAAAAAATTTTTTTTTTTACTTCTTACGTGTTTCAGTAGCTTATTAAAAGTCGGTGTAAAAGAAGAGGAATGTAATTAAATATGACTGGAAGTATCAGCAAACTCTCTTTGTATGTGTAAACTGATTTATTTAAATACAAAGCGAATTTGATAAAAAAAAATTCACATTTAAACAGGCAGGTCTGTATATTTTGTTTCAAATTTTGTATTTAGATAGTTAATGTTAGTAGAATTATAATCAAAATTGTTTTATTTCCCTATGTCATGCAGCACGATACATATTTTAAGAGAAATCTACGCTGGAAAAGCAAAAATACAGGAGCACGCGAATTTAACATTTAATAAATAGATATATCGCAATGAATAAATTAAACTGAATAAATGTAACTTGCTACTGCATTACCTGTAATTCTACTTTTTTGCTTCTCAGAAATCTCGAGAAGCAAAGAAATTTCTAGAACTCTCTCGCGACCGATCGAAAACTTTAAAAAGCAGGAGAAAAAATCTGAGCTCAGTAGTTGTTTACTTAGCTGCTGTAATTATTGTTGATCGGTTTAGTTTTCTCTGTACTGTGGATTGCATTCTATTTAACGTTTTAGTAGTTTAAATTATAGTTACTGATTATATTGCGTAATATTGTGATACCGTACAAATATTTCTGAGGAAAATCCAACGTTTTGTTATATTTCTTGTAATAAGAATAAATTTTATTAACCTTTTATCGGACTTGTGCATTCAGTCTATTACGAGCTCATACGCAAGCAACAATATATTCAGCTCAGGCAACTATTTCTATGTGTATGTGTATTTTCATTCAATTTTACTATGTTTCTTCAAAAATTGGAATTATTTGTGACAGGACGCCAACAGAAAAAGGTTACGTAATGAAAGCTATTGAGTTTCTGACTATAGCATTATTGAAAATCGTGCTGGAACAAACACTTGAATACTAACTAGTTAAAAATAAATAGATAAAAACCTCACAAGACTATACCATTTAAAATGACGTGGAGATTCACTATTTTACTTACCGTTTACTACAATGAATACATAATTATATTTATAGTTAGACAGGACACATTAAAGCGAGCAAGTTAAAGTGTGTTTTGTATTTTTAAGCTATATTTTTTAAAATCCTTTAGAAAGAAACCACTACATTCTCAAGGAAAAACCACTGCATTCTCGTTGGGAAACGAATCAAAGCGATTCAACATTTTAGCTGGACTTACTTACTCCGACGTCACTGCGTAAACTGTAAAAACGCTTACGAATCTTCTTATTACCTTGAGGTGAAGTTTAGAAGATTTTTTTTTTTTTTTTTTTTTTTTGTAAATTTGCATTCTTTAATTATATCCTAAATGCAGTCAGTTTAGATAATTTTTAGTTCTAGTAGTGTTGTATAACAAAAGAAACATACTTTAGTTTTTTTTAATCTAATAGCAAGATTTCGAGTTTTATATAAACAATAGAAGTGATATCCAACAGAAAATAAAATCAACAGCTTAGGAATAAAAATTATATGTATTCCTGTTTTTCGGATGCTCACAAGAAACATCACTTTTTCGTTTAAATGATCATTAGATCCTAAACTTAAGTTTAACCAAAAATAAACTAAGAGTAAGATTGGCCACAATCGTAATATAAATAGCATAAAATGGTTTGATCAGAACTACATTATATTGTAATGAATTAATAAAAAAAATTTAAAATTAAAAATCTGAAAGCTTTCAGGTTTTATATTACTCACAAAGATGCTTTTTTCATCGTTTTGTGTGTTACTTTGATTGATTAAATATCATATTTTTCGCACTTAAAACATAAGATTCAATTCAAAGGCAATATCGCGAAAAAATGTTAAAATGAGCATGACTTTAGAATTTCCGATACACAGATAATTTTTTTTTTTTTTTTTTTCGTACAGTGTTGCCATTGCTCGCTTTGAAATCGTTGAGTTTCTTAATCAGAAACTCGTTAATGCTTTACAAAATATGAAATAGATAATAAAACAAATTTCTAATTAGGGCTTCCAGATGTCCATATTCGGGTGGAGACGTACGTTATTCAAAATTGGAAGTCACTAGGTGCCGTTGTTTTATCCCAATGCGAGAAACATACATACATTTATGCAGATTTTTCATTATTTAATTTCTTTAAATATAATACAGGGAGATAATATTTGGTGGCAACAATTTGAAACGTGGCTTTTAAAGTTTTCGACGCAAAATGCCAAAACGAAATTAATAGCCCTTCTGAGTTAACGCATTTTTTGCTAAAAATATATAAATTTAAAAAAAATAGCAAATACATTTAAAATTATAAACAGGTACACAACGGAAGCTCGTTTTTTGTGTCCATTCTGCTATTTTTAATTCCCTACATAGAACTAATCAAGGAGGGCTTCTTCACCTTATTATCCCTTCTCACTCTCTGTCTCCCTTACTCGAAGCCGGACAGGGCTGTGAATGACGTCACAGCATAAGTAGAGGGGTAATGGGGTCTAGTCGCGAATTTAGACCACCTTCGCGCATCCCGTGACGTCACTGGAGGCGCATGTGCCCGGGAAACCTAGGCAGGAAAACCAGAAGATCCCACAAATATCTCTTCAGTATGACAATATCCATCCCTCCGTTCTCATCGAGGATTCTTTTAGCGCCCGTTACTGCTATTGGTCGATGATTTAAACTGAATCTCTGAGAAGTTGAGAGGTTCTTCGATACTTTGCAGTTGATGAGTTAAATTCTTTGCATACTGCGTATCTCTCGGTGATTTTCTGATGACGTCTGCTTCGTGGTATTTGATAGCAACCCTTCCTGAAAAGGTACGTTAGTTGTTGCTTCCTCCAAACTGTTGCGTCCGACTTTAAAAGTTGCGTCGAGAGACTTTGCACTGTTATTGTCTTGAGCAAAGTTTTATATTTATATGTTGATGATAACAACTTGCAGTGTTTAAAATTGTGAACATATTATAAAATCTACTTTGAAATTAATATATTATTTTAAGTTAATTCTGAAAATTAAATAACTTTTAAATTTGATATCGATATATATTGTGAACATAATATAAAAAATATTGTGAATATATAAACAATATTGAGAACATAATATAAAATCAATTTAAAATTAATATATTATTTTAAGTTAATTCTGAAGATTAATTAACTTTTAAATATGATACTAAGTTTCTTCGACGTAGTAATGAATTGCAAGTATTATTATTTCAAAGCTGAATACTTTTGCTTAAAATGTATTAAATTCTGTTTGAATTTGAAAAAGATTTATCTTAAGTATAGAGGCCTTTTTCGTTGTACTTTCAAATTTCTTGCGCCTTTTAAAACATTGTGTCTAGAGTACAAATATGAAGCTTAAAATTTAGGATGCGATATTAAAGATTTTTATATTTAACTTTTGATTATAACATATTGTTAAAGCCTAATTTTTGTTTTAGACGTGCTGCGTAATAAATTTCAAACTTAATATACGAAAAGATTTCCATCATAAGATACAGTGTCAGATTTTAATTTAGCTGTAAATTGAAATATAAAGTTGGAAAAAAGTGTTAAATGAAGTGTTTGTATTCATTTCTTTCTGAATGTTTTGTAAATTCTTTTTATATGGAAAGCTATATAATAAAATGTATTAGTACGCTAAATTAGAATTAACAATTTTATATAAAATATTTACCTGAAAGAAAGAGAGATTTTTTAGATTCAGTGAAATTTCTTAAATAATTATCTGTTGAAGAATTATATCTAGATCGAAATATGTTGTAATTTGCTCAACCATTTTACTTATGTTTCCAGAACGACACGCTTTGTTGTAAAAGTTCATTCAAAGTTGGCTAATTTGAATTGAGAGTGAAATGCAAAATAATAAAGTTACCTAATATGACTAATTCAAAGTATCTAATTTCATTAAAATTAGTTATTATTTTTAGCCCAAAGCGGCAATTTCACCAGAAGAGCTATTAATTTCGTTTTGGCATTTTGCGTCGGTTTACTATAAATGTCGGTTCTTTTTTCAAATTGTTGCCACCGAATATTAGAACTCTGCATTATATTTAAAGAAATTAAATAATGAAGAATGTGCATGTATGTCTGTATGTTTTTCGCACTGTAAAGAAACAGCGGTACCTAGAGCCATCCAGTTTTGAATAACGTAGTCTGCCATTCGAATATGGGCATCTGAAAGCCCAAATTTGGAATTTGGTATTTGTTTTATTATCTTATAAGGTATTTCTCTCGCCCTCCTAGCGTGCAATCGTGGTGTAGTGGTTCTGCACGCTTGGCAGGTATTCCAGAGGTCCGTGGTTCGATTCCCGGCGAAGGCGATTGCTCATTTTTCATCTTACCTGCTTCCAAATAAATCCTAATGACTCTACAATCTGTTTCACAATTTGTCAAACATAAAAAAAAATTCGTTTAACAAACTCAACGATTTCAAATTGACAACATTGACAACATTTTACGGAAAAAACATATTTTTATCTCCATCGCGCAAGACTGTGTATCAGAAATTCTAAAGATATGATCTCTTAAATATTTTGCGATATTGCTGTGGAATTGAATTTTATGGTTTGAGAGCGAAGAGCATGATATTTAATAAGTAAAGGTAACACACAAAACATTTATAAAAAATTTTTAAAAAAAAAAAATTTTGGGCGTAATATAAATTTGGAAAGCATTCAGATTTTTTTTTGTGCCAATGTTTCTTTTGTTTATTACTTTTCATAACGTTTCTACTAAGATTTAGTTTTTATATGTTTGTACAGAACAGAACCACAGAAGCCAAAGTTGCAGATGATCTCATTAAAAGTTTCCACTTTGTACATACTCTTTTTTGTTTTTACTTACATAACAAACCAAAATCTTGAATACATTTGCGGAAAGAAATCTCTGATCATTTACATCATTTTTCATTTCAACAAATCCCTTTATTTTTCATAACATGCCGTCAGTTTCTGAAGGTGTTCGTAGGTGCTGTTCTGCTTCGTTTTGAGTTTTATTGTTTTGTGCTTCATCTAATAACTTTGTGCCTCATCCCTTCAGCAATTTATGTTTTTTATCAGTATTTGATTGAAATATTCAACTGACGTCAACTGATATATCAGTGTTCTGCAATAGGTACATCGACACGCTGTTATTGAATATTACAGTAATATTACAGTGTAATTTATAGTTTACGATTGTTACTGGTGTGATTTCTTTCTCGGCTTATAATTCTAGTCCAAATACACCAACTACATAACTAAATCAGTTACCGCTTGCGTATCTTTGTTATGTAAAATTTTTCCAAATTCCTTGTCGACTGAATACATGTTTAATATTTTGAACGACCCTTAAAGCCGTTGATTGAATGATGATACTAATATTTGAAAGCGATTGTACAGTTTTATGGCAACTCAAAAGAGCAGTGTTATGATGAGTAAATCAATTATCAATGAACCTCAATACAGATAAGCTAAGAAGAAGCTTGACTGAAGACAAGGCATTAAATCATGGAAAAAACATACTCTAACATAAATAAACTCTAATATTTTCAAAAATGATGTACCTCCAGATTCGCATTATCCCAAACAATAAACTTGTCTTTATAGGAATTTGAGCTAAGTAAATAAATTTATTGTTAAACAGAACAAGCAAATTAATTTCGATTAGTCTGTTTATAAGGATAGTTCTCCTGCCTTTTTAGCGTGCCTTCGTGGTGTAGTGGTTCTGCACACTGAGTCGGTTCGCGGTTCTATTCCCGGCGAAGGCTTTCTGAATTTTTCATCTTTCCTGCTTCCAAAAAATACCTAATGTCTCTACAAGTTTTAGCTACAAAATTTTAAATTAACTACAGGGGGTATTCACACACTTTTGTAAAAATTTTTCAAAGATTCTATATATATATATAAGCGGCTTAAGTGTTTGTCGCCGATAGTTTATTGGTTGCTTGAGTAACTGTAAATTGTTTTATTCCCCGTGCAGTGTAGTGCGTGACGAATATTATGAGAAAGCTAAGTCGGAAAAATTAAAAATGCAAGAGCACGTGCATTTAACATTTAATAAATAAATTTAACATCTATTTATAATGGAATTCGGAAATATGGAACTGGCAAAAAACGGCAACAATAAAAAAAGCAAATAAAATGAAATAAATAAATATCTTTATTATATGTGGCTTAAGTGTCTGTTTGTCGCCGATAGTTTATGAGTTGCTCGCGTAACTTTACTAGCCAATGGGGTGAAGTTGCCACGGCACAGGGGTGCCGTTTAAATTGAGACGTAGACAATTTCCTGTAAAACTTGCCTTTGCTATGACCATATCAATAAGTATAAGAGCCAAACGCTTAAGCGTGTTGGCATTTTTTTACCTGAGCCTGCGTATGAACACGGTCAACTTTATGTTGCCTGTTCAAGAGTTCACGGAAGAATGGACGTGAAATTAAAAATAATGGATGGTCCTCTGCAAGGCGAGCTTAAAAATAATGGAAAGATCTAAACAATAAATGCTGTGTATAAAAAGATCTTTGACATGGGAATTAACATTTTATTATTTAAATCACCTTTATTTATTGAGCTAGAGGTGGCTTTTAAGAAATGTACCGCCAGTGGTTTCCTTCATTGCACTCTACTTTAAGCAATTAAGTAAGTAGAAGGGGGAAACCCCGTGGGGCAGTAAGCAAAGGGGCGTCCTGGCCGCCTGCCCTGGGTAATTCAGTTTGAATTAGCATACACCTTTGCACAAATCATTTTAATTACAATTTATAATATCTAGACAGCGGTCATTTCGTATGATTGCCGGGCTTTCTAGTTATATATAAACAATCCTTAGAATTTTATTTCTTAATATGTTCGGTCTTGTAGCCCTTTTGTTAAGCTATCATATTACACCTTGATTTCCAAGATAAAAGTCCTTTTCTTAAAACATAAAGGTCGATTACATTCGACTCCTCCTTCAAAGTCTTTCAGAGTCCATCCAATGTTTTGGTATGCCGCTTATGAAGAGATTCTTTTAAACGTCCAAATGCACAGTAATGCGTAGGAGACACATTAAGGGACTTGGGTGGGAGGAATTTAAAGGTTATAAGGTATTTCTTCCGCATTTTTAGCATGCCTTCGTGGTGTAGTGATCAGCACGCTCGGCGCGGATTCGAGAGTTCCGTGATTTGAGTCCCGGCGAGGGCATTGCTCATTTTTCATCTCTCCTGTTTTCAGAAAAAAAATACCTAATGTCTCTACAATATATTGCGTCATAGTAACGTCTAGAGAATTCCTTTCAAAAATAATGTGAGCGTTATAAAATTAATGCACTGCAAAAAAAAAAAAAATTGCATATTATTATGCTAAATAAAAATTAGTTATTATCCATTACTGCCGTTTTATGTTTTACCGTGAAACGTTTATGCTCTACATATCCTTAGAGTAAACTTGAAAGGCCTCTCCCACCTTAGCCACGCCCCTTCGTGGTGTAATTTGAAAGCATGTCCGACCAACATCGGGATATCGAGAGATAGAATCCAGCAAAGGCATAGCGCATTTTCATAACTCCTACATCGATAAGCATGATGTCTCTGAAACCTGCTAGAAATATATTTCAAATGATTTACGAAAACTCTTACTACTTCTCAAGTTTACGTTTGAAAGTCATTTGTTCAATCAACATTTCATATTTAACTCTTTCTGAACACATTTGAAAAGAAGTTTTAATTGGTAAAATGCGCATCATCATTTCGTAGTTCTTTAAGAGCTACGAGAGTTTCGACTTAAAAGCTTTTCAGTTATATTTTATTACAGTTCGATATACACTTAAGAAACAAATACTTTATTGCGTCATTGAG